TCCCGAATATCCCGATGGCCAATCCGCGCCTGCTCACAGACACACAACTGAAACGCTCTCACACACACACACACACACACACACACACACACACACACACACACACACACACACACACACACACACACACACACACACACACACACACACACACACACACACACACACACACACACACACACACACACACACACACACACACACACACACCACACACACACACAACACCACCAAACAGCGTTTGCAGTCGGGAAGAAAAGCAAATGTGGAGCGGCATCTCACCACTTCATAAGGAGTTTTAACCGTGACACCTTTCGAAATCCCGTTTGTGTCCCCCCACTTTACAAATAGGCCTATGTTTATTATTATTTTTTAACACAAGCCGTCATCGCCACGAAGGAGCACACAGCCTCTGTGAGCGAGCGAGACAGAGAAAGAGAGAGAGAGAGAGCGAGAGAGAGCACACCTTTATCTATTTAATATAGCCTAGTTGTAAAAAATAAAGTAAATCATTCCAATGTGTACTATAGGACAGTAAAAAAAAAAAACTGTTTAAAAGGGGAATGATTAGTAAAATATGCATAAATAAAAAGAAAGAATGCTAACTAGGTAACATAAGATAAGAATACACAAGTTTAAATGTTTTTTTATTGGTTGTGATCATATTCTAAAGATGTTTGGATTATTGAAAACAGCTCCCTTTCATATGAGTGTTGAGAGCTGTATCCATGAATTCATTTTGTGCTCAAAGTGCACCAGATTGATGCAATTAACTTCAACATTTACAAATAAATCTTGCATGCCCCCGGACCCCCCTGAGGATGTGAGGTCCACCCCCAAATAAAGCAGGTTCAAATAATTAATTGCATACATTTTCTTTTAGTAAACACTGAAAACTGGGTCCCCACAGACCCAAACAGCACACAAAGGTATAATAATGTTAAAATGTGTTAAATATATACACTGCAAAAAAACAAAAAAAGATGAGGAAAAGTAGCTCACGACCTGTTTTATTTTTTTAAAGTAGCTCTCATCCAAAAAAAGGTTGGCGACCCCTGTTATAGAATGATACATTTGACCATTTTAAGCCTGGCCTACCATTTTATTGGAGTGATGAGGAACAAAGTGGGGAATGACAGAACAAGGTTGAGAACCACTGGGTTAGAGGGAGTTCACTGTTTTCTTTCTTCATGACCATTTTCATTGAAATTAGTGTGTGTGTGTGTGTGTGTGTGTGTGTTGTGTGTGGGTGTGTGTGTGTGGTGTGTGTGTGTGTGTGTGTGTGTGTGTGTGTGTGTGTGTGTGTGTGTGTGTGTGATGTGTGTGTGTGTGTGTGGTGTGTGTGGTGTGTGTGTGTGTGTGGGTGTGTGTGTGTGGTGTGTGGTGTGTGTGTGTGTGTGTTGTGTTGTGTGTGTGTGTGTGTGTGTGTGTGTGGTGTGTGTGTGTGGTGTGTGTGTGTGGTGTGTGTGTGTGTGTGTGTGGTGTGTGTGTGTGTGTGTGTGTGTGTGGTGTGTGGTGGTAGTGGGGTCGTGAGTAAGTCGGGGTCAAAAGTCCCAGAGACTGTTTAAAACCCCAGCTCCTTCCTCCAGTCGCCTCAGCTGCTGGGCCCACCGTCAGCTACCTGCCAGAGCTTCAGCAGTTCAACTTATGTCCCTCCAATAGGACACACACACACACTATCTGCAGATGTCTCATATGGTTAGATCTCTCTCCCCGAAACAGGATCAAGCCTTTGCTTTATTTTCCTCTCTCCGTATCATCTTTCCTTCCGGTGCGTGTCTTGACAGCCAGAGCTCGGTCCTCATTATCGGCGTGTGCATGTGCAGAGGGGCTGCTGACGCTGTGTGTGCGGGCCACACTGACGTCAGCAGAGCCCTTACTCCTCTACATACAAATGCCTGCCTGTCTGCCATTGATACCTTTTCTCTGTCCCCCACACTCTTATTAGCGTGTTTTTATCAGTTCTAGCACCTCTCGCACCGCAGAGCCTAGCCAATATGACACGCAGGTGTAACAACTGGCCGTCTAATAGCCTGCACAGGTTTATTGACTCCTGTTAATATTTACGACTTGTGTTTAAACGTTAAATAACTGTGTGTGGTATGTGTGTGTTGAATGTTTTTTCTTTATTTACGTGTACTACATTTCCCTGGACCTTTGAGTGAATGTTAGATTATGTGTGTTTTTTTTGCTTTGTTGGTCTCTCCCCGTTTGCTTTTCTTCTGTATATTCAAGCAGGTGTGCATACATATAGTGCAGTTATTTCCCTTTTTGAAATACCTGCACCATAAATAATCTCCATTCACATGTAGCTGTGCACACAGTGTACGCAGCATAGCAAGATACACTGAATATATGCCAGTATAACCTTGTCTGTGCCTGTGTTTTAAAAGATAGCAATAACACCAAGTAAAGAACTAACTTGAAATCTAGGCATGATTCACGTTAATGTACATTATTTCTTCCCTTCTCAGCGTCTTTATCCCTAAATCTAATGATGGAAGAAGTAGGCTAACTCAGCAAAAGCAATGTCAGAATACTCCATTAAGACTAGTAAAGTCGTGACGGCAAAAGCTAACTTTACAAAAATTCATAATAATAATAAATGGCGTCAATAACACTACATTTTAATGCATTGTTATTGACGTTTTTCCTACGTTGTATGCCGCTGGGGTGTAATGCATTTGGTATGCATGTAGGCCCACTTATGTACAAGTGCAAAAAACAAATGATTCCTTTTAAATGTCATTGAGTACAGAGTTTAATCATCGCTTGTTTCTTAATGTACTTGATAAGATAAGAAGTGTTGTTTCATAATCTCACCGAAATGTTTTAATGATGAGAAAGAATATAAGTGTTTTGCTGTGTGCATGTGTGCGTCTATGTGCATGTGTACAGGACAGGTGTCTTAAGTGTCAGCAGCTGAGTTGGTGTGTCTTGGTCTCTGTGTCTGCCCTCATGTCATGTTTTCAAAACATCACTAAAGAAAATATCTCTGGTTCATTGACAGATTTAATCCCCTCCCTTGCGGAAGGCCCTCGCTGTAAATAAGTTGTGGCTTGGCACACTCTGTGATGGTGTTGTTTCTCTCTCATTCAGCCAGCTTTTTCCTGTTTCTGTGCTGCGTTGGAGGCGGAGAAGAACATTCGTGTTTCGTGCATTGTGCACAGATAATGCAAAGGCACACTGTAGTGGTGAGGTGTAGACAGAGTGTACACATACTATGTTAGGTGACACACTAAAGATTTCTCACTGTACGATTGAGGGTCGGTAAAAAAAGGAACAAAAACACCTTGGGTGGAGCTGAATTAAGGCTGAGTGTACTTTGTGTCTAGTTTTTTTAAATCTCTGTCTATAGGTTCTCTGTCCTTAACTTTCCATCCCCTCCATTATGGCATCCTCTCCTTCAGCTTTTACCCATCTCCCTCTCCGTTTCAGCCCTCCTGCGTCTCTCCGTAAACAAGCAGAAGGCCAACAACTCTGTCCTCCGGCCGTCTCCCGCCATCTCGTTGCCATGGTGTATGGAGCATTGTTTGCTGGCCTCTATCTGGAGTTGCCATGGCAGGGCTTATTTGCCATATTAAATGTTTTCAGCATTGTACAGATGCTGATGACAAACACCCAACATCCCTCTTTGATCAATGAAACGGTTACTGATTAGAGGAGATGGGACCGGGCGTCTGATCTATTTACCGACCTTACCTATAGCTTTAATGCTTTGTATGTCTCACATGCAGAAAAGTAAAACAAGTCACGATTAAACAAAACTATTTAGAGCGTGCCTTGTTATATTAAAAACCTGGCTTTAAAGCCTGTAAAATAGTTTTAGTTTTTGTAATCACAAAAACATTTATATAAGAGTGCATTTTACAATTTAACAGTAAACATATTTTTTTAAAGCTTTTTTCTAAAACAAACTGAATTTGTTTACTAGCATACATCTTATTGAATTCCTTGACTGTGATAGAAATGACCGATTATGAATCTGAAACCTTTTCACATTTGATGTGCCTTGATTATTCCTGACTGGCTGACATGTTTAAAAGAAGGACATGTGTGCATGATGTTTACATGTAGAGGTTGTCTGTGTTTATGGAGGTGCTTTTCAAAAGAAGGTGTATTCCTTGTGTCTCTCCCTCTTGTGGTGCATGGTGAGAATGCATGCTGGCTTTTGAAAACATTGCAAATTGCTATAGTAGAACGAAAATCTCGGTCCGTTTGTTGCCACATTCATGAAAATATTGTACCAGGTTTCATCGCAATAGTGGAATTGTTATGACTTCTCATACCATTTCTGTGCGCTCACGAAAAAGTGCACGGCTGAGAAAGTTGAAGGCATGTTAGGAAAATCTGCATGTGCAAAATAATAATCTGGTAGTGGAACAAAACTAGTGAATGTTTCCTTATTATCTTAACTAACCATCTTTGTGTTTATTCTTCTAAAACAGAGGATTATATTATTTCAGGTCTAGCAACTAAGTGTTACACAACCTGCAGCAACTTTGACTGTACACCACAGTAACGTGTGGAGAGCTCCTGTGTGGTTACCAACAGATAGCGTGGAAATGTTGCCGATTGACGTAGTTGGACCAGATAAGATCTCAAAGCCCCATTGCAGACGCACCATGGTGGTTGTAGTGGTTTGATTTTCTTTTGCTTTCAGTTAAGGGCTCAGATTGATGTCACTAAGGCCTTGTGCGTGAAACATACCTGTAGTAGAAAGTGCATCATGTGTTGCAGGAAATCTTTAGTGTAAACTGTTTCTATAGTGTGTGTTTGGAAAGCATGCAGAATTAGAAGAAGCTCTGTTGCTCACCTGCCATTGCTCTCACATAAAAGAGATACACAAGTCATAAGGCAGTGTGCTGAAAGTGGAGCATAGGTCAAAGTCTGTGCTCCTTGTATGTGAATACATTTCGTATTCTCTGTTATGCATGCACAAACATATGTGCAATGATGATATTTCACTAACAGTTTATGTCCTTTGTGTTTTTTTTCAGATGATCTTGTGGGACTGGGATCTGAAAACACTGGTACAAACCCCAGTATCAGGTCAGTTCTGTGTTCTTTCAGGAGTTTACTGTGCACGGTGGGATCCAATCAACACACACATAATACAGGTCTGTCCAGAGAGGGGTGGTCCATGTAGAGTGGAAGCTTTCTATAATTCACCTTCAGGAAATTCAGTTATTTTGCTGACTGATTTGGTCAGGCAAAATACACATTGTGTAAAACCTGGCATGCAGTGACCTTGGGATTGTTGTCAAGCCACATTTTTATCTTTTCAGACATTCTTTGTCTTGTTTGAACTATTTGCGTAATCTGTCAAAGAATGTATCTCCCACAGACCAAAAATCATTATTTGTTCCTGTTAGACAGAGCCCAGTAAGCCAGGACATTTTCCCACATCAAACCTGCCCCGATAACACCCTCTTTATGCACTTATACCTTTCAGTACTTTAGAAACAAGCATTGCACAACACTTCTGATATGGGCCCCTACCTATAGTGTATGTTTTTCCTTATTTACGGTTACTGTTCTAACCATAACACAGCTAGCCCTATCATTCTATTAAGTTAGTGTCATAAATCAGCTGATTTTCATGCTGTTTACAGTACAGACCAACACAAGGGCTACTAGACAACACTGTTTTTAACCTTAAAGCCATGATTTTGGATCTATTTTGTATTATCTTTTGACATTTGACCAAAGCACACAGACTAACACTAAAAACACACATACAAGAAACAAAAAAATGTATATAGAAATGTCGAATGAAAATCTAAAAGCACTTTAACAAAACTTTCCCTAAAGAAAACGTTTTAAACCGACTTGGTGCATTTACTGGCCCTGTCCCCTAATCTGCTCGATGTATGTGTGAATATGTCAGGGTGCGGTGAGCGGCAACGGCGTGGATCTTTCAGTCATCACGAGGCCAGGAACCTGGTGTCCGACCTGCTGATGGACTCCTCTCAGTCCCCACACACCATCTCAGCCCTGCGCAGCATCTCCAGCCTCATGGGGACATTTTCAGGCTCGTGCCGCCCCAGGGTCAACCCCTTCACCCCCTTCCCCGGGTTCTACCCCTGTGGTGAGGTGGAGGATTCTGTAGAGAGGAGTGACAGAAAGACCATAAAGGTGAGTACCAGCATTGCCACTGCACCAGTGTAGTAAATACAGAAGAGATGAGTAATAGGCTATTTCAGTTTGAAAAAGTCCCGGTAATAAAGGAGTATCTAAACTTAGGACACTACTGACAACATAATGCTGCACAGCAGTCTCTAACACCGTGAGAAAGGATTTGTCAGCTGTTAAAGTTATCATAGCCGCAGTCTTTTTATCTTTTATCTTGATGGCAGATAACAGAATTACGCCATTGATATAATTGATTGCCTGGATGATGTGTTGCGCTGCTAGATGACGTTGCATTGAGTTGGGGCAAAAGCTGAGACAGGTATTTTGACAATTGGACCCTGTTCTTTACCTTGCAGGTGCTTTCTGCTTGCTTCTTTGCTTTTTGATGCTGTACAATTGTAATTATGAAAACGGCCTTAGTTCACACATGCTCATAGCTTCTGTTTATATAACACGACCAGCATCTTTAGTTAGTGCAGTGGTTCTCGAACTTTTTCTGTCAGGCCCCCCTTTGGAGAAAAAAAAAAGTCAGCCCCCCCAACACAAATAGTCAGGATCAGTGGCGGCGCCAGAGATTTCTTTTGGGGGTGCTGTGGGGTAGCTTGACGTTTCATAGAAGGTGCTCAAACATTTAGGGTTTTCCATTAATGTACCGGGCGCTACAGTGGAATGTTCTACTGCAACACTCCCCACGCAAATACACAGTGTGACTGTTACAATGAAGGCACGATAATCAGCTCACGGCATATAGGTGTAAGCAGGGGTAAAGTGCTATTTTTATAAGTGGGGAGTGGACCTAACATAGGGGGGTCCGGCATGCTCCCCCGGGAAGATTTATTTCTAAATATTGAAGTTAAAATCATCAATCTGGTGCACTTTGAGAACAAAATGAAGAGATCTATGGATACCTCTCTCAACATCCATATGAAACAGACCTGGAAACAGATTTACTTTTTCTTTATGGATATTTTACAAATCACCCTTTTAAACGTTATTCTTTTTTACTGTCATATAGTATTTCATACCTGTTATAACTATAATGATCATATACACGTGTGCCTCGGAAATAATTGTTTACATCAAAACGTTTGAGACCCACTGATATAACTTAGACTATTTTCGAATCAATAATTTTTTAAATTTTTTTTTAAATCTTTTTTTAATTTGTATGACCATTTTTCCTCCTGGTCTCTCGCGCCCCCCACTTTGAGAACCACTGAGTTAGTGTATCAAACATTGATCTATACTGGAGACTTCCTTTTTCCCCATCAGGGTTTGAGCAGCAGGAACAGCCTCCCCACCCCTCAGCCCAGGAGGAGCTCCACCTCCTCCTCCTGCTCTGCACTCCCTCCTCTTGACTCCTCTTCCTTACGCTGGGAACGCACTGGCAAGAGACCCCACCCAGACCTCAACTTGAGCAGGTACCAACACAAACACACTTTACCACCTTCCAGAAATACACACTGTCTTTACATTTGCTCACACACATCATCTGGGCTATACTTCACCCTGAATTTGTTTTTTTTAAATTACATGTCACTTGTTAGACGCTTTTATCCCAAAGCGACTTACATACTCAATACTGTGGGCAATCCCCCACAGGAGCAATTTGGGGTGAAGTCTCTTGCTCAGGGACACAACGACATGCTGACTGCAGTGGGGTTTGAACCTGTGACCCCCTGAACACCAACGCTCAACCCACTGCACCACACGCCTCCCACGTTGAATTTGTTTTGGAGCAGATTAATCGCTATTTTTTGCAAGATCTGAATAATGTGACTGTATGCTTTGATCTTCTTCAGGTGGCTCAGCAGCATCTGTGCACGTTGAAATATAAGGATCTTTTATTTCTAGTCTTTTGGTCAGCCTCAACAAAGTTATGAATAGGCCTCAGTGAGTTCTAAATAAGTACAAAATACATCTTCTTTATAAAAAGGAACATAGTGCACTTAACAGGAAACCAGGTCAACTGTGAATTATACATCTGTTTTAATGGACCAGGTGAAAAATGTAGATCATTTTTGTTTATTTTCTTTTACAAACCTCCTTGTCTCACTACAAATTCATATCATTTACAATATATACAACCCCATCATCACATCTCTGAGTCGAACAGAACAGTTTCCACTCATCAGCTCACCTCATGTTCCAGATGGTTAGTGTTACTTTTTATTGCTAGGGTGGAACAAATATGAAATATATATATCCGATTTAATACAATAAATATCATGAAAAGCAAAGTTATTCTAGACTTATGTAAACATGTCGCTCTGTAATCATAAGTACTCATCACTGTCCAGTCTGCAGTTATTTTCTTTTCCTAATTGGTCGATATTCGTGGTTTGATGCCTTTTTTAGTTGTTTGAAGTTAGCGTTAGATAACCCAATTATCCTGCTTAAACAAATAAAATGTAAATACATGTTATATTCATATAGTCACAATTGATAAAAATGACTGTGTGAATGTGTGAGGTAGGGCTGTGCAATTAATCGTATTTTAATCGCGATTACGATTATGGTTTGCGACGATTATGAAAACAGCATAATTGACAAAATACGATTATTTAGCTGGGTGTGCTTCACCCCTCCCTAAAAGCCCACTCGGCCACGTGGGAGTGACATGTGTTGTGAGTGTTCAGCGCGAGCGAAGATGTCAGAACAAGAGTAGCAACTCGTTAAAAAGAAGGGTACAACTATTTCCACTATTTGGAAGTACTTTGGCTTTCAGGAGTCCGACGTGGAGCAAAACAAAGTACAGTGCAGGATTTGTTACCAGATTGTGTTGGCACCACACGCTAACACAACCAATCTCTTTAATCATCTGAAATACAACCACAAAGTGCAATACGACCGGGCAATAAATAATACAACAAAAAGCAGATGCCGCTCGACTTCATCCACAACATCATCACAGTCATCGATTCAGGACGCATTGTACAGAGCAACGGCCTACGCGACGAGCTCGCAGAGACACAGAGATATTACAGGTGCCATTACATTTCACATCGCTAAAGATATGTGCCCAGTTAGCACTGTTAGCAACGAGGGCTTTAAGCAACTTGTCAACACGTTGGACAAGCGTTACGCGATGCCGTCTCGGTATTATTTCATTCGGTATTATTTGACAAATGCCGTGGGGAAGTTGAGAGAGATGTGGCTTCAGCTGACTACTTTGCCACCACAACGGACCTATGGTCAAGCCCAGGGGTGCCCAACCAGTCGATCGCGAGATGTGTCTAAAAATAAAACAACAATATTCTGTTTTATCGTTAATGTCCTGTAACATAATCTTCCTGTGCCAGAATAATGCACTTGAACGCATCAAAGCTTTGTGATTGGCCGGCGTCACCGCCGTGTCGGGGCGTGGCTGAGGGTCTTCAGTACAGGTGGCAATATCGTCACCTGCCTGCGCTCATCTCTGAAACTAGACCATGTAAACAGCCTGGTGTTTCTTGCAAAAAATCTTTAAGAGATGACACGAGCAGCCCTACCAGCATTTGCCATGGTGGCCTACATATTTTTATTTGGTCTTAAATTGTAGTTCAACATTTATTTCCTGTTACTTCTGGACCATGACGGTTGGCCAGCCTTCAACGTTTAACTGAGTGGAATATGTTGAATATGTTTTACCAAAATGTTGGCTATATGTTAAGGAGTTTTCAGTAGGTTGTGACAGTGCACTGCAACATGTTTGATTTAATTTATTTTGGTCTAATTTATTTTTATTTATCATATTAATAATATATGTTTAGTATGGTTTTGGAAGTGCGCTCCAACATATTTGTTGATCTTGTTTATTGGTAAAATATTATTTGTTTTAAAGTTCAATAAATGGTCAATGAATAATCGTCAAAATAATCGTGATATCAATTATTGACCCAAATAATCGTGATTATGATTTTTGCCATAATCGCACAGCCCTAGTGTGAGGCATTGTGTCTTGCATGTTGGCTGTGTTAGTGTGGCTTGCACAGAGAAAGCAAAAGCAGAATAAGTTGTAAACACATGATAATGTCGTCTTTGGACTATGATAATGGTACTTACTGCATTAAGAGGAAATTGTGCCCTGTTAGTGAATGTTAACAAATCCATTTCACGGTGTTCAATTCACTTCAAACCTGCTGTTGGCGCTACTGGATGTTGTGTCTACATGTCTCCACTGGATGGCAGTAGACACTAGCTATGATGGCAGATGGCTTTTTTGACATTCAAATAATCCTATTTTTGTTATAAAAGTATTCAATGGCTGTCTAAGGATATTGCAGCCTTGAATTGTATATTTTTTTAAATACGTGTTGTGTTTTGTGCTCCAGCTCAGGTCTGTCTAATGGACCCAATCCAAACCTGCTCACGATTCCCAAGCAGAGGTCTTCGTCTGTTACTCTCACCTACCATTCAGGGTCCAGGAGAGCAGGTGAGACTCTACCATAAAACTTCCCAAAGACCCTAGATTAATTCCTCACGTTTTGATATCATCTCATGCTGCTCTCTTTCCCTGGACCCCCTTCCTCTCCTCCAGGGGCCTCTCCGAGCCTGAGCCCAGTCACCTCCCCCAGCCACGGTACTCTCGCAGGTTCCTCATTGTCTCTCGTCACTCGATCGCCTGTGGTGTTTCCAGACACGGCTGACTTCCTGACAAAGCCCAGTGTCAGTTTAAACCTGCACAAGCCCTTGGGCTACACCCTCAGCTCACCTGATTTCCAGCAGGCCTTCCGTAGCTCCGCCTTCCCTCTGTGCACCAGGTGAGACCTGCACCGACGAATTTGCATGTTAGAGTGTATTTTGTGTAAGTGGTTATAACCAAAGCTGTACTGCAGTTGGTTATATCTTTGATTGTCTATCCCGTTCTAGCTGTGGTCGTCAGATGCTCAAGGGCGTTACCAGCGGTGACGCAGGGGAATCCTATCAAACATTTACTAGTGAGGCTCAACGCAGACGCTCAGGTACAAAAATATGAAATGCACATTATAGAGCGTAATAATGACTGACAGTCTTCAACAGTGCTATTGTTTTGAAAGAGAATCACTACTGTAAGCAGTTAGGGGGTTAATGCTGCCCTCTGCTGGACTCCAAATGTAATGCAAGTTGAGGAACACAAACAAAGACAGAGGAGCACACACAGAGGACGCAACATTGATATTATTAATTAACCCTCGTGCTGCTTCCTTTTACATTTGAAAATTGAGTTTTATTAATAAACTTAAAATGTGTAACTAGAAAACATTAAAAAAAGATAGACTTGCTCATTAAAAATAAGCCTATTCTTTCTCAGTGGTTTTCCACTATCACCATTGACCATGTTAACCACACTAGCCTTTATACCTTTTGTTGACAAGTATTAGGGTTTACTTTTTCTCTATTCAGTTTACAACAACACTGTTAGCCAAGAGTAATTAGAAAAACAATTAAAAGACATCATCTTTAATTAACCAGTAATTATAGTATTTATTAAAATACTTTAAGGACAAATCAATATAATTAATACATTATTTTCTGTGACTGCAATCCAGTCACTTTGACATGAAAGTAGTGTGGTCAAAATGTAGTTGTGTTCGTGAGTCCATATTATTCATGTCTCTCCATGCACTGTGCTCTGTGTGTGCAGCAGGTGAAGGGTTGGATTTTGCAGGAGAGTCTCTGATCAGGGAGGAGAGCGTGGAGGTGGACGTGTCGGGGGACGGGGGTCCAGACGCTGCAGGGAACACGGGGCAGGAGGAGAAGGACAAGAGCACAGACCAGCAAACTCAGGAATCAGAGGTGTGCTCCATCAGAGGGCTTTAGTTACAATACGAATGTTTCCCGCAGCACAGCAGATGAAACAATTACTCTATTTATCATGTTATTTGTAGTTTACCCTTCCATAAACGACCATATCAGCGATGTTAGTTTTCAACCATTTAGCTCATACTTTATCTAGATTTGTAATTTCATAGTGATTCATTTTTTTGCCAATGGAAACAATATTCATGCTAATATCTACAACTTTTCTGATTGTCTCCAGGGTGAGCAGGAGTTCAGACTAGATCCTATGCTGAAGGACCAAGAGGCTCTCATGGAGAGGATGAACACCTGGAACTTCCAGATCTTTGACCTGGTGGGCAGGACGGGGGGGAAGACCGGAAGGATACTCAGCTATGTTAGTACAACAAGCACTCACCAGTCATCTGCTGTAGCTGTAGACGTAGCAGCAGTGTGTTTTAATTGTTGTATGTGTCCACTCTGATGAGTCTCCTAAACAGACTGTTCTATTAAATTGTAGTTAATCATATTTGCAGGACTTTAAGCATTTAATTCTATATTTAATGCAACACTGCAACCTTTCTTCTATGCAAAATGATGTGCAAAAAGTACTTTTATTGTTCCACTGAGGCTCAGTGAGCGTGTTTGTTATGTTGCGATTGGTGTTTCAGTAAAGCTGGTGTGTTTCCCCAGGTGACGTACACCCTCTTCCAGGATACGTGTCTGTTTGAGATATTTAAGATCCCTGTGAGGGAGTTCATGTCATACTTCTGTGCTCTGGAAAGTGGCTACAGAGACATTCCCTGTGAGTATTACATTGTGCAATGTGCAAGAAATGCAAGGACTCTTGTTTGTTTGTTTGTTTGTTTGTTTGTTAATGCAATATCCCACATGGTTCATGTCGATCATTGAATGAATCAGGTTGCAGTTTGACTTGTCTATAAAAATACATATGATTTCAAATGTTCTGTACATGGTCAAATTGACTCATTTAATCGACCATGGTTACAGATCATAACAGGGTCCATGCTACTGATGTGCTCCATGCTGTCTGGTACTTGACCACTCGACAAATCCCCGGGTTCCAGCAGATTCACAGCGAGCATGTGACAGGAAGTGACACAGGTAAAAACATTACGTTTCTCCACAAGAGAAAAAAAGGAAATTCATAAAAGACACTTAAGGTAGTCATTTTAAATATAGCTCTTAGGTCCTAGGTTGAGACAATTTCACCTCTTAATCTTACCAAGCATTTTCTCACCAAATATAGAGAAAGAAATATTTTTAAATGTTTGTCCTTTCCTGCTAATAGCACCTGTTTGTAAGTGTGAACACCACTACTTTATTAAGAAACTCTTCTACCAGTTCTCATTCATAACACTCCGTTCGATGTCTCACTATGGGATGCGCCTCATCGCGGAGCAAACAGAAGCATCAATCTCATTACGCCAATCCTGATTGGCTGGTGATCTTGACGTCAGCGTCAGGGAATTCACCCCCTAAAAGTAGCTTGCGCCACGACGCATGCGTCATTCAAACACCTCTTCTCGCTTCAGAGCACATCTCTATAGTAGCCGGACAAGCTTAACGGTCCACAGACTGTTGTCCGCCAGGGCTCTGAACGTTTCCTCACTGCTAACCGCATACCTAGCGGAGCTCTGTGAGGATATCTTGAGTAATCCTGGACCGGCCGTTCTGGATGAGTTGGCCGCGGTCACAGACATTTGTCTCCGTGTCCAACGCTGCGCCGTCCAGGCCACGGGCAAAACAATGGGGATCATGGTGGTGCAGGAAAGAGCTAGATGGCTCAACCTCACCAACCTCCCAGACCGGGAAAAGGAGGATGTGCTTTACATGCCCATCGTTCCCGAGGGGATTTTCGGCTCCGCTCTTGCCTCCATGCAGAGGAGATGCGAGTCGAAAAAGAAGGAGGACGAGGCCCTCCACCTCTGCCTCCCTCGAAGGGCCCAGCCGCTGCCTTCGCAGAGGCAGCCCTTCGTCCAGGCTGCTCCGAACCCTGCTCGGTTAAAAATACCGAAAACGCAGAGGTCGCAGTCCGCCCCGAGTCCCCAGCCCAGGCAGGGGACGAGGGCGAGCTGGCCTAGAAAATCTCCGGTTCCGGCTGCAGCCCAGGCGCAGCCAACCCAGAATTTCGGCCAGCAGTCGAGGAAGAAGAAGCGAGCGGCATGACAGCCCCTCCTTCTCCCCTCTGTGACAGAGCTGGAAGTCTACGGTTCCCCAGCTCTAAATGTGTTCCCGCCGCCTCGAGAGATGCCTCAACACCATCCTCAAGTCCGCATAAACACATGTCACACACTTATTGATTTTTCTGTCATAAAACATTTTCCGCTGATGCATCCAGGCTTCGAGCCAAGGGCGCAGCTCGAAAAAATGAAAAGAAAAACAATAAAAACAATAAACAGTCAAGTCAACTGTTCCCCTTCTGATAGCAGCTGCGGCCTCTCTCAAAGGGCGGACAATTGACGGGTCTGTGAAGGTACCACCGGCATGCGCGGTGCCGGCTGGGGTCATGAAGGCACCACCGTCACGCACATGCGCAGTGCCGGCTGGAGCTGTAAAGGCACCACCGTCACGCGCATGCGCAGTGCCGGCTGGGTTCGTGAAGGCACCACCGTCACGCGCATGCGCAGTGCGGCTGGGGTCGTGAAGGGCACCACCGTCACGCGCATGCGCAGTGCCGGCTGGGGTCGTGAAGGCACCACCGTCACGCGCATGCGCAGTGCCGGCTGGGGTCGTGAAGGCACCACCGTCACGCGCATGCGCAGTGCCGGCTGGAGCTGTAAAGGCACCACCGTCACGCGCATGCGCAGTGCCGGCTGGAGCTGTAAAGGCACCACCGTCACGCGCATGCGCAGTGCCGGCTGGAGCTGTAAAGGCACCACCGCCACGCGCATGCGCCGAGTGCCGGCTGGAGCTGTAAAGGCACCACCGTCACGCGCATGCGCAGTGCCGGCTGGGGTTGTGAAGGCACCACCGTCACGCGCATGTGCAGTGCCGGCTGGAGCCGTAAGGGCACCACCGCCACGCGCATGAGCTGTGTCGGTGGGGATTGTCGAAATGGGGCACCACAGTGCTCAGACACTGGAGGGTCCCATAACACAACAAATAGAGACTCAGAGGGGAAGAGACGTGACATCTCAGCTGGCTCTAAGGAGCATACAGCGGGAGATGCTCACGACATCTGCTTGGGTTTCTCAAGACAGTTACACGGAGCTACAGACTCCAAGTCACCGTCACCCCCCCCCTAGCTTCTCGGGCATTCTGCATTCGCAGGCCCGAGGAGATTCAGCCCATATTCTGGAGAGAGAGATTATCTCACTCCTAGAAAAGAGGGCTATATCTATAGTACCCGCCGAGCAGAGTCAGGGCAGCTTCTATTCCAAGTACTTCCTCGTTCCCAAACGGGGAGGGAATGGAATTCGGCCAATACTTGATTTGAGGGCTCTGAACAAATATCTTAAAAGATATAAGTTCAGAATGCTCACTCACACATCTCTGCTGCGGCTCGTGCGACAAGACGACTGGTTTACATCAGTCGACCTGAAAGATGCGTATTTTCACATCCCAGTATATTACCCACACAGGAAATATCTGAGATTCGCATTTCAGGGGATCTGTTATGAATACAGAGTACTCCCCTTCGGTCTGTCTCTCAGTCCAAGGGTGTTTGTACGATGTACGGAAGCCGCGATAGCCCCGTTAAGACAACGGGTATTCGCCCTGGCGACCTACCTGGACGACTGGCTGCTTCTCGCACAGTCGGAGCAGGAGGCTGTTACGCAGACAAATGTCCTCGTAAAGCACCTGCTCAACCTGGGTTTCATAATAAACACAGAGAAGAGCATGTTGTGCCCCGCGCAGACTATACTCTTCCTGGGTTTACGCCTGAACTCGGTGCCCTTTTCAGCTCGCTTATCAGCGGAAAGAGTGAAAGCTTTCAGAGCTTGTCTCGCTCTTTTCCAGCTGCGCAAACATGTTCTCTTCAGATCATGCCTGCGATTGCTGGGGCTCATGGTGTCAGCCATCCTGGTCGTACGACTGGGACGCTTACACATGAGGAGTTTCAGCGCTGAGTGGCCGCCCTAAAACTAAACCTTTTTAGACCGAGAGTGATGGTTACTGTGAAATGCGTAATGGCACTGCGCCACTGGCTGCACCCAACTTTTCTAGTACGAGGTGTGCCTATGGGTGCTGTCCTTTCACGGAAAGTGGTCACCACGGACGCATGTCTGACAGGTTGGGGAGGTATTTATGAAGGTCGCCCGGTGAGGGGTCTCTGGAGCAGAGACCTCTAGCGGGCGCACATAAATTACCTGGAGCTTTTAGCGATGTTTTTTCACCCTAAAACGCTTTCTGCCTTTCCTCAGGGGACATCACGTCCTCGTGAGGACAGACAATACGACCACAAAATCGTATATTAACCGCCAAGGGGGTTTGCGTTCTCTCCAGTTACACACACTGGCGCGCAAACTGATCCTATGGAGCGGTAGACGTCTCCTCTCTCTGAGAGCGACGTACGTACCGGGAGTGATGAACCTCGGGGCAGATCTACTGTCCAGAGGTATACCACTTTATGCAGACTGGACTCTACATCCAAGGATTGTGAGCCAGCTGTGGGTGCGTTACGGCAGAGCCGCGGTGGATCTGTTCGCATCGAAAGACAACGCTCAGTGTCAGCTGTTCTTTTCGATGCACCGATCTAAATGCACCGTTAGGCGTGGATGCACTCGCGCACGATTGGCCCCCGGGCCTTCTGTACGCGTTCCCAACCCCTGGCTCTGATACCCCCAAACTCTGGCCAGAGTGAGAGAGCAAACGCCACACAACTTATCCTGATAGCTCCGCACTGGCCAGCTATGTACTGGCTAGCGGACATATATCAGCTGCTGTGCGGGCAGCCATGGCAGCTCCCACTACGCAGGGACATACTGTCCCAAGCGGGGGGGGGGGGGCGATCTTTCACCCACACCCAGAGCGCTTGGCTCTATGGGCCTGGCCCGTGAGTGGTACAATCTGAATACAGTGTGACATGAAGCTGACCCTGGCAGCTGCCAAGCGAGCCAGTGGCACTCATGCACTATCTCTACAGTCTTCATGGCACTCAGTTCGCCCCAGGGCAAACAGAGTGTGGTTGAAGCCCAACCCTACCTTTATCTTAAGGCGGTTGGTTCAGGTACCACATTTGACATTGAGGCATCCTCCCGCCACTGTATTCCTCCGGGGAACAGCGGCCGGATTTGACGTGTCCAGCCCGTGCTTTACGCACGTACAGGGACAGATCAAGGGTGCTTCGTCATAATGACCAACCCCTTGTGTCCTGGGCTAACCTTTATAAGGGCAAGCCTGTTACTAAGCAACGGCTCTCCCACTGGTTTGTGGAAGCAATTGCTTTGGGGCTCATACGAGTCAGAGTTCGCAGGCACCCTCGGGTCCGCGAGCTCTTTCGACTCAGGGTCTGGCTACATCCTGGGCTCTGTCCAGGATGTCTCCCATCCAAGACATTGGTGCAGCGGCGAGCTGGTCCTCGCCGCTCACTTTTGTCCGCCTCTTAACAGGCTGGACGTTCTGCTCCCAGTGTGACTCAAGCAGTGCTGGGCACCTGGTTGAGTCAGAGCTCTACCTGTTTAAGTTCTGGTTGGTTTGGTGATTTTCGAGATAAGCTCGTCTGACAATACGGGAGCTACAATTTCCCATAGTGAGACATCGAACGGAGAGTGTTATGAATGAGAACTATAGGTTACTTACGTAACCCCAGTTATCAGAGTAACATGAAGTGAGATGTGTCACCAGACGGCCCTCCTTGCTATGGTGAAGCGAGAAGAGGTGCTTATTTTGAATGACGCATGCGTCGTGGCGCAAGCTACTTATAGGGGTTGAATTCCCTGACGCTAACGTCAAGATCACCAGCCAATCAGGATTGGCGTAATGAGATTGATGCTTCTGTTTGCTCCGCGATGAGGCGCATCCCCATAGTGAGACATCTCACTTCATGTTACTCTGAGAACTGGGGTTACGTAAGTAACCTATAGTTTTTTGGACACCCTGTGATGTCAGAAGAAATGCAGTAATACTCACTGATTTGGTTTCTTCTGTAGTGGGAGGTGGCCATTACTCAAGAGAACACATGGGGGTTTGTTTTAAAACGCAGACATTTCCAATCCCCTCTCAGCTGATGATAAATAAGCTCCATCAGAAATGACCTGCTGCTCATATTATCACCACTGACATAACAGCCATTTGATAAGAAGGGTTAAGAAAGGGCAGTGATATCAGAAACTGAAGTAGTGCATTGATTAAATGAGAATAGAACAGGGATGCCTGTGACACACTTTGACATCCATCTTGTTTATTTTCATGTTTCAGATTCAGACAGTGGGATCTCTCCAGGCAGGGTGTCCTACGCCTCCTCTAAAAGCTCCTCCATTTCAGATGACAGCTACGGCTGCCTGGCCTGGAACATACCTGCCCTGGAGCTCATGGCCCTTTATGTAGCAGCTGCAATGCACGACTATGACCATCCCGGTCGCACAAATGCCTTTCTAGTAGCCACTAATGCATCTCAGGTAACCTGCAGCATTTATTGGTACTTGGAAGTGTTGTAGATTGTCCTGACAAACATCTGATATTCAAGTTGGGACACATAAACACTCTTGTGTTTACAGAAACAGATAATAGGATGCTCAAAATATGGGTTTATGCAAACTTACATTTCAATACAACTGGTTGTATTGGACAACAGAGTGTACACAAGTAGCTCAGGAGTTTTTTATGACCCCCTGTTACATACTTAGTTAATTAATGACGCCATGATATTAGTCCTGTTCTATGTCTACATCGGGGCCAATCCTAGACTAAAGTACATGTTTTCACACACCTTCAAACTTAACTGAACGACATTTTTCCATTTTGAAATCTTCTCAAATTCGTTGACACATTTGTTGGCTCTCTCTGCAAATCCAACAGTACTGTGCTTTTTAGGTTTCCTATAATCAGAATTCAAGTGTATTGCCAAGTAAGTTTCCACATACAAGGAATTTGCTTTGGTGTTTGGTTGTGCAAACATAAACACAACATGAGGAAATAAGTTGATAGAATTGTTACATTTTGTATCTTCCTAAGTTAGAATACCTGTATATAACTTACGTGTCTATTTCCAGTATAATTGCAGTTGTCCAAGCTTTACAAAGAGATACAGAATACCCCTTATGGATTATTATAAAGTGATACATCATTTTGGATCCTGTATTTGCTGCAGTTTACCATTTTGTCTGTAGTAATTTAAGTAAATCACTCTAAGTTGAGGGACATTGTTTGCAACAGGTTTTGCAACTTGCCTTCTAACAACAAATTATGTGAAATTTCTATACATTTTAATAAATAATACAGAAGGGCATTATATGATGTCAAGGAGATGAACACAAAAGTGAATCTATCTCAACAAACTGCGTCTCAATTGGCATCATATATAAGATTAACTCCCCGCCACATGGCCAGTTAATCCCATTGTGCTCTCTCACTGTGGTCAGTCATTTACAAAGGGAGTGTGAAAAGGTTAACTGCATGCTCCAGTTTAAATATTGTATTTTCCTAACATGACCAGTAATAGCACTCAAACTGTCTGGGTTAAAAGAAAGGAGAGGGAACCCTGAACCTATTGATTGTTAATGATGTTGATAACCACCACTCTTAAAAAGTGATTTTAAAGCTACTTTTAACATGATTCTCCCCTCAGCTAAATTGACCTTGATACTTTCATAACCAAATACCCTTATGTCCTGTTCATCTCATTTATTGAGTTACCATTTTAAAGCCATGATTACAAATTGTTGTAACACAGATACAGACCTATTATGTGACCTTTTAGAGGAAATTGTTGGAAACCTTTTAGCCTACCCTTTCTACCCGCTCTCACCACTTGGCTGTCCCTCCTGTGTGTTGCAGGCGGTGCTGTATAATGACAGGTCAGTGCTGGAGAACCACCACGCTGCGTCTGGCTGGAGCCTCTACCTGTCCCAGCCCGAGTTCAACTTCCTGGTCAACCTGGATCATGTGGAGTTCAAACGTTTCCGCTTCCTCGTCATCGAAGCTTATACTGGCCACAGACCTCAAGAAGCACTTTGAATTCCTGGCTGAGTTCAATGCCAAGGTCTGAGATGATGAAGTCTTATTACAATTTATCATTATCTTTTTATCTTTCTTTTAATTTCTGGCCAAATATTGATTGAAACGAAGGATTGGTACGTTTACAGTTACGTTTAGCAGTACACAGCATTATGGATGTGGGAAAAATCTGTTTGACCCGTTTGCAGTGTGAAGCATCCCATTGTTTGTTTGTTTGTGTACAGGTGTGAATGATGTGAACAGTCCAGGAATCGATTGGACCATGAGAACGACAGGCTGCTGGTCTGTGCAAGTGTGTATCAAGCTGGCAGATATCAATGGGCCAGCCAAAAGTCCGTGATCTGCACCTCAAGTGGACAGAAGGCATCGTCAATGAGTTTTATGAGCAGGTAGAGACTGCATGCTTATGCTAATGTGCGTTTTCAATTTCAACAGAACATTTCAATGTTTCTATATCTTTTGCATTTTTTTATTTTTACTTAAGTAGTAGCCAAAATCCACCATTTGAACAAGTCCCACATTGATCTAACAGAAGGTAATGAATAAAATAAATAAGTCATTACAAAATAAACGATATTAAATGTAATAAGTAGTAGAATTATTATCCAGAGATGCAACACATAAAGATGTTATAACCAGGGGTGCACATTAACTTTTTTGCCCTGGTTCTCAAAGGAGCACCTGGAGATTGTTGCTTGGTGCGCATCCTTAAAATGAAATAAACAGTACCTTTGAGGGTTTCTTGATTTTATGAACGGGGGGGGGGGGGGGAGCCTGTTCGTCGGAGCCTCGCAGCAGGGTTACTGTGCAGAGCGCATAAAGCAGACCCTTCACGCGATAGCGAGGGGTTAGAGCGAGGGATCGCAGATGCCGTCGTGCTCGCGGACGGAATTAAAAAAAAAATCAACCTAAATGGCTCGCGAATTATATTTATACCTGGGCGGCCCGCTCAAGTAAAGTCTATATGGGATACCCTGCTATCTTACCAGTT